ATCATGATCTTTGTATTAGTTGAGGTTGATTTGAAGTTGTAATAATTCTCTTGCAAGAAATTAGAAGAAAAAGAAAGGAGATATGAAAAACTGCCATAGTCTATTAATATGAAAGGCTTACAATATGTAAACTATCCTAATAATAACTAAAGAACATCTTAATAAATATTAATGCGTTCAAAAAATTTCTAAATTCCAACTGAATAAATCTCAAAAAATAATATATGGTAACATTTCTTCTCAAACTCAAGAATCCTGTTTGTAACAACATGTATTGCTTCATCTAAAGAATAAATCATACAACTTGTATTGTTTTAAATGAAGAATAAATCATCACTAAACAAAAAATTTAAATGATTTATGAAGGTCATTTGCACTGTTTAAATAATTTTTGAAAAAACTAATCAATCGTTTAAAAAATCACAATAGGATTTTTATTAAATTATATTTAATAATAATAATTTTAGAAAATTAAAAATTTTTAAAAAATTACAACCTTTTAGGTAATTATATATCCAAACCTGATTTTGATAAATACAATTTAAACAGAATCAATTTCTCATAATCACTTATTAAAAAAAAAGTATCCAAATGAAAATCATAATTTATCCGCATCGCTTTTGATTAATGCCACTTTTGAAAATTATGATTATCTGTATTGTTTGTTCAACTCCAATCAAATGGGTACTAAATTAATTCATTAGTGAATCTTAGATCCAAATTTTGGATTTTTTTAATAATCCTGAATTTATAGTCCTAAAATAAGATAAAATCTATTTATCTATTTGTTATTTATATAGTAAAGTACAATGAGATTTTAACGTACATGTACAGTAAAATGTTTTTGCTGTAGATCTGCAAAACCCATTGTGCAGTTCTTTAAATAAATACTATTTTTAAAATCATATTTTTTTTTTCAAAATTACGAAGATAAGAAAAATTATTTTAAAACAAAATTTATTTTTATTTTTTTTAAATTGTAATACAAATATGTTATATTTTTTAATTTATATTCGGCTAAAATCAGCCATTAATTTCTAGAATGACGACGTATAAATATGCATAATGTATAAGCTAATATGTTAAAAAATGAAATATGCTGTAAATCTTTTTTTTAATTCATATGGGGTAACAAATTATCAAACAATTTTATTTATATTATAATTCAAATTGTACGAGGAAAAAATAAATCAACCAATCAAATCATATCCTATTATTATATAGTAAAGTACAATGACTATTAACTATACATGTACAGTAATATAAAATAAAATAAGTGTAATTTATATGTTCAATATATATATATAATAAAGAATTTTAAAATAAAACAAGTAATTTTTTTATATTTTCAACATGAATAAGTCATAAATTGTTAATTACATGTTGTTATTTATATTGTTTTATTTTGATAGTGTGGATGTAATAAATTTTTGGATCAAATATGCCATTTAGATTTTTAATATGTAAGAAATATAAAATAGAATGCGTTGTTATCTAAATTTTTATATTATTATCATAACATTCTTTAAATTAACATAATTTTAAATTAAATTTAGTTTCAAAGCAAGTTTTTATATATTTTAAACACATACGGGATAATAATTTTTTTAAAATTTATGTTGTTTAAGCTTTTTATTATGCATGGATTAATAAATTATCAAGTAATTTTTTCTTTCCCTCCAATGTTCTCCAATTTTGGTCGCAGCTTGTCGGCACTTAAGTAATTCTGTGCACATTGTTATCTATACGGAATTTTAAATTATACCGATGAAGTATTATAAAAGAAAATAAAAAGTCAGTTGTATTTGCAAGAAATACATTGATAAAAAATTTAAAACAAATTGAATTATTTTTTATATTCTTAATATGCACAGATGATGATTAATAACTACGGATGGGTCAATCATATGTCATATAGTACACCCCGTGACCCCTTTTAGTTATTCTAGTTAATAAATTATTCAACTGAACAAAACAAAACGAACACGACATCATTTATTACCCATTATCAAAGTCGTGAGTTGATTATTTGAATTTAACGTCTTTATGATTTTAGCTCATAAAATTATATCAACTCTCTCGTAAATTCAGACAAAATATAAATTTAGTTAAATTTGTGAGTTTTTCTTTGGGTTTATTATTCTTACATTTCTAACTTACAAAATCATATCAACTAATTCATAAATTTAAATTAGATATGAATTTGATTAAACTTACTAAGCTTATCAATTTTTTTTTTGAGTTGAGCGAGTTAAATATATATTACATAGAATTTGGTTCATATAAGTGATATGACTTGGTTCAAAGAGGAAAAAAAATCTTAAAAATTCAAAATTTAATATTAATAAAAAAGAAAAAATACAAAAAAAATAAATCATCTTATTTTGAAATTTTTATGTTTTGTATGATAATCTATCAAAGTAGAAGGATTTAATTTCAATGACTTATATTTAAAATATATTTAAATCAAATTATGATCATATTTTATATTTTAATTATTTAATCATATATTTTTAATGGATATTGATTAATAAAGATAAACTTTTATGAGTTTACGATCTAAGTTTGCAATCTAAATTTATATTTTTGTCATGAGTTTACTTAAAGTTACAAGTTTAACAACATTGCTCATTGCACATTCAACTGACAAGATAAAAAGTTACACAAATACGAGGACAATTTAGGACAAACAAATAAGTAAGCTAAGATGCCAAAGAAAAAAGGGAATCACATGCATAAAATAATGGAATTGTTTATTACTTCTTTTGTTAGCCAGCATCTATCCATCCAACGTTGTTATAATACATACATTATTTGCAACTAAAGCCATGTGTGTCTGATATCCATCTGATGACAAAGGATACAAAATTTGAAGTTTATGCCACTAGCTAGACACAGGCATGTGTATTATATGACTCTATTTTTATGTTCTTTATTAATTAGCTGGCCAATATCATCATCTTATATGTTGTATGACTATTTACATTGTGGATTCAACCGTTTTCCCACCTTTATAATCAGGTTTGTATACATGTCATCTTCATCGCTTTTGGCCGTACTTTAATTATTGAGAGGTGGCTTTTCTCATCAATTAAGTACTAATTATTAGATATAAGTTTTATTTTTGCTCGAACCAGCTAGCCGTTTAGCTATTATTTTTGCTCAGAGCATCCAAAAATCTTGAAATACCAAGTTTCAGAATTTTTTGGGATACTTTCGAACAAGTTCCAGATAAACAACGAAAAGCCGATAATAAATTCTAGCCAAATGTGCAATGTATACATGGACAGGGAAAACAGGGCAAGATAGAACAAAAATGAAATGCAAATCAACTTAGAAACACTTCAAATTCAATTCAAAGTTCAATCTCTATCCAACTCATTTGATGAGCAATAGTTGTATATGCCTCAAATAAACCAAGTTTAGTTTCACTATTGTAGCTAGTGACAACCTAGCTAGGCTGAATTCCTAATGATTTAAAACAAAATCAAGCTAAAATAGAGTTCAGAAAAGTTTTGGATTGAATTATCTAAGGGAGACCAAAATTAACCTATCGAATTTTTGTCTATCGTAAAGGGGCATCAATTGGGAGAGTTTCTTCTTCAGGAAGTTGCCATATAATCTGTATGACAAAGGCTTTACCAGATCTTTTAGAAACCATATATGTAATTATCTAAAGCATCCCTAGTGGAGTTAGGAAAATGAAGATCTAATGAGTGATTCTACAACCGATAAATCATCTAATGGTGTAGTGTAGTCATAATAGAATGAGGATCCTGATCTGTGTCGACTATTTGGATTTGTACTCTAGTTTGATGAAAAGAGTTGGGTCAGACAACTTTATGTTGAATTATGAAGGAATCATAAGGATTACACTCCCATTACTAAGAGTAGTCAACAAGGTCCAGATCAAGGCATTGTTGTAAGTTGTGTAGTTGGTATCCAAAAGAGCAATTTGATTTATTGAAGGAATTTCTTTTCTTCCATGACGAGTCATAATGAGACAGATTGCTCTAACACATGTAGATGGATATATCATTGCTCTTTCTAGAAATCTATAAAGGACTGAGAAATTTCCAGAGTAACATATATTATTATACAGAGATTGCTTGAAGACCACATTATACTGGTCAAGCTTAAAGGTTTAGATGACTTCTTTAACATGAAGTCTTCTAGTTGTGACTATAGACCGAATGCTTATGGTACAAGAATTGGGTCAATTTAAAGTTTGTATGGTCTAAGAAGAAGGAAGAGGCTTGTGTCTTGAATTTGGGCATCTTTAAGATGATGTGAAATCTCAATGAGGTTTTCAATTTTATTGGTGAAGAGTTCTTTTAACTAAAAAATGAAGTTGGTCATGAGTGAGGGCGAAAAAAGAATAACAGGGCTAAAAGTAAGAGGCAATGAACTATGCTGTTGCCTCATGATTATAAGCTTTCTCCTTATTTGCAAGCATCACCAATATTTCCCCTTTGTTATGATAGGACGTTTGACTGACATCGAAATAGGCTAAAGTCCTCGGATAAACTCATAAAGACTAATTATCTTTTTAATGTTTAGAGACTAATACACTAGATGAGGCATTACTTGGATTACAGTCCTTAAGCATGATAAGATCAATTAATTTGCTATCAAAATTAACTTTTATTAAGAGTAGGTGTAACATTACACTGTTTTTAAATGTTGAAAAAAAACATTATGTACAAAAAATAAATTTAGAATCTTAGACATTCTTAAACATATAATTTAACAGTAAAAGTATAAATACTCATGTCATGATGACTTTTTTATCCTCTCATATGAAATGCTATTTATGTACATTAAAACGAAGAAAAAGAAGGAAAGAAAGAAAGAAAGAAAGAACGTAATGAAACATTGCTCAAAGCGCAGGATTTATGAAAAGTATATCTTTATTTAAAGCGATATCTATTGCATGGTTGTACTCAAACATGTATAGATCGCACTCTCATGCTGGCATGTAAACATAGCTTGCTAGTTAGCTAATACATCACATCTTCCACAGATTTGGCCAAGAGACTGTTGAATCTCTTTGACACACTAGCGTCATTAATCTTAGTACTATAGCCTGTTAGCTTATCATAGTACCTATTCCAGAGCATCACCCCAACATATTTGGAAGATTCCGCCACAGTCGGAAGAACCTCAGACTTGAGATCTTCTTGTGTTATGTAACCATTGGATGCTGCAGCTGGATCATTTGACGCTACTAAGCCCAAGAACACAGACGTATCACTATCAGCAACACCTTTCTTGGCCGTCCATTTCGACCATGAATCAAGAAGCCCTGTGAAGTCGCCTCCTAAATATTCGCAGGTTTCGTATTGACCATAGAATAAAACCCAGAGATAATCTACATGACCTGTAGCGAGTGCGCTGTCAAAGGCTGTGATACTGCAACGCGGCGCTGCTGATATGTAAATCTTTCTCTCTTCTGTCGAATAACCATAGATTGCCTCCACAAGGTCGACCCATGACTCAGAGCTGTAATCAATATCTGCAATATCGATGCCATCTAAAGCCACGGCTCCGAGAGGACCTTCGTGACCGCTTAGAAAGTGACTGTAAAGATACTCTGCCAAGGAACTAGGGTCATCGACTTTGTCCATTTCGAAGGAAAGCAAGACTTGGATGCTTTTGCTTTGACAGTGTAGAATTTGCGATGCTAAGGCTTCGCAATTGTTGTTAGGACAATGGTCATTGAAATTTAAGGTTCTTGTTCTGCCTGACACGTGGAGGTATGCCAGAGCGACGATGTCGTAGAGATCAGAATCACATGCTTCTGTTACGGTGCCTTCAATCGATGCTGTGTTTTGTCCCCACTAGACGGCGATTGTGGCACCTTGGGAGGGGTTGATGAAGGAGGACACTGTGAGGAGAGAAAGAAAGAGAATGAGAACTTGGTTTTTGGAAGCCATGATGGATCGATGGTGGGAGAGTAAGATGGTAATTTTCTCGTTTGTTTAGATTCGTGTGTTCATGGTGCAATGGATGGTGCCTTTATAAAGATGACAGGGCATGGGAAGGCCTAAGGTGCCAAAAACAATTTCATAGTAATTGCAATAATAGTATTACTTACTAATTACTAATTATAACAAACACGTGTATCACATAGGGCGGTTGATGAATAACAAAATACTAACGAAACAATATAAAGAATAATTATTAAATCTCATATCCTGCAAAGTAGATGCGACAGGAATTCTTTCTTTCTTTATTTTTTTTTTGGTGTTAATAGATATTTCTTCTGATTTTATTTATAAGTCACTTCTAACATTTTTATTATAATTAAAAAAAATTTTAAATTTCATTATTTCTGTATGAAAATCTAATAAATTTTTAATTTTGCCCCTATTAAAATATACATAGTTTAAACATAAAATGCTCTAACTTTTATTAATAACCTTCTCAACATTTAATAGGGATAAAAAAGTAAGCTATTGTAACTTATTCCCTCCTATCCTTTTTATAAAATATTTTCAACTGTTTCACACATATTAAAAAAAGTTAATTTTTTTCTCAATATCATTAAAAATGTAAAGTATACTTTTATTTTTATCATTAACTTTAAATAATAATACAACTACATTAAATACCTCTACGCTAACCAAGAAGGGCTAAAATTATAAAAAATGGTTTAATTATTACAAGATGTCTTATATTTTAAATTAAAAATTACTTTTAAAAGATATTTTATAAATAGAACTGAAAAGCCTATCATTTATTTATAAATATTCTTCACCCTGTTATTTTTTTATCTCTACTAATTGTTTTCTGTGTGGATGATTTGAAGAGAATATAAAACCAACAACATGAAAATAAAAAAAAAAACATATGGATGATATCGTTTTGTTACATTCTTCCATCGAACCAATTAGAGGACAAACCGAAAAAGGACGTGTTGATAACGGCGAATGACATCATTTCTTTACATACAAACAAGTAGGATAAAAGGCTACGTGTGGCATGAACGCCACGTGTTTATTTTTAAGAATATTTGTATTTCAAGATACTTTTTTTTTTTTTGTAATTTTATGTTTTGGATTCTAGTTTGAAGTTAGATGCAAAATAATTTATTATTTTTATATGCATATAAATTAGAGTATTTAGGTTTTGAGTTAGGTTCTAAATGATTTATCATTTTTCAGATATATCAAAAATTAATTTTTATTCATTTAAAATTCAAATCTAATCATCTAAAAAGGAGTAATCAAATTATTTTATATTTTCATACAATTCTAAAATTATATTTTAGATATATAATTTGCAATGTTGCGAAATATATTTTATAAAAATACCTATATATTTGAATTTAAATTAATATCTATAATTTAAAAATTTAGGAAAAAGAATTTGTGTTTAAAATTTTATATTTATCTTGATGATTTTTGAAAATTTTGAAAGATATTTTGAAAATTAAGTTTCATATAATTGAGTGTGTGTATATGAATTCAAATTAATATATATCTATTCAAAAATTTAAAAAAAATAGTATTTAAATATTTAGATCGATCCTCATAATTTCATGGTGAATATAGTTAGGAGAGAGAGAAGGAAAATGAGAAGGTGAACTTGGTGTTTGGAAGCCATGATGTTACAACTTGGTTTTCCTTATTTGTGTAAAGGTGGCAAAAACAATTTCAAGCAATTGCGATAATATTAATTATTATTAATTACAACTACTACGTCTGTTGCCTTGTTGATAATAAAAAACGTTTAACTTGGTAGATAATAAAAAGATTAACTTTCTTTTTTTATTATAGATATTAGTTTAATAGTTAATGTTTTAAACGATTAACTTGCCTTTTTCCTGCCTCCTCACCCAACCCCACCCACACCCACACCCACACACCCACACGCCCACCTACTTTAGTTTAACTTAGAAATTTTTTAAATATCCATGATTACTTTAATCTAAATACCAATTATTTTTTTCTGATAATAGCTAAAATGAAATAAGTAATTACAATTATTTCTTTACAAATTTTTTAATCATTAAAGTCACCAAGTGATGTAAATATTAAAGATTATTTTGATTTAAGAAATGATTTCTTTTTTTATAGAAAAATGACTAAAAAAAAAAGGCAATTACAACTTTCCCCTTTGCAAATTTTTTAGTCTATGAATTCCAAAGATCAAGTTGAAAGAGGAGCGAACTAGGTATTCTGAAATACTTGAGGCATTGCTAATGGCCTAGGAGATAGGGAGAGGGTATAATTGAACACTCCTTCTTGACTATAGTATAGAATATCTTCTAAAATCTAAGTTTTATTTGGTCCAAAATATAAGATAATGGGTAATTTCTATAATTACTTTTCCAACTATATCCTATTTCATTAATTACTCATTTTGAAAAATGATGTATTGAAATTTCATTTGTAGAGCTGGGAATAAGGGTTGAGTTTGGAAGGCTGGGCTTCAAAGCCCTATTTAAATAAGGATTCGAGCTTTAAAAATAATTTTTTTTAAAGTAATTGGGTTCGAGGGCTTAGCTCTAATAAGCCTTGTAAAAAAAGACCCGAGTCCAAATTGGGGTTGCTCTTCAAACCCTATTATATTATTATTATTATTATTTTGGTAGAATACGTGTTTGAAGCCAATGACTTGCTCACCTAATCCTACACACATTATATTATTATTAATTTATTTTATTCTAAAATTAATTTAATATAATTTAATAGATATCAGTATATAGTATAAAATTTTTGATATTTTTTATTTTTCTATAATTATTATGTTTGTGTATTTATAAAAAATAAACTATTTTTTAACCCAGATTTAAATTTTATTACTAGACTTCTAAATGTGTGTTATTTAATTTCTAAAAAATTATAAGGATCTTGATTTTTTTAATTTTAAAATATTTTAATTAATGTCTAATGCTTAATTTTATTTTAATTTTTTTTATTTTTAAAACAAGGCTTGGAACTCCAACCCTGAGCCTTTCATATAAGAGCCAAGCTTGAGAAATGAAGCTAAAAAAGAAAAATCAAGCTTTAGGGCTTGAGACCTTAGGGACCTGACCCACCCATATTCCCAACTCTATTCATTTGTCATTATTAAAGCACTTATATCATCAAGTAGTTACCAATGTCCTATATTATGGTTTAGAGGGACTATTAAAATATTAATATTTTAATAAGATATTATTAAACAAATATATTATTTTAAATTACTTTTTAGTATTAGTGTCAATAATAGTGATTCCATAATCACCCAACAGTTAGTCAAAAGTAGTTGGTTAAACTGAAATTTTAGTCTTTTACATGAAAAAGAAATAACATCCTTATCTAGGTAATTATTTATAATTTAGAGAACTTAATCACTATTAATTTTTTTATATTTGATACTTATTTGTAATTTTTTGGGTCTCTTTCTGTAATTTTTGAAATACTTTTCATTAATTTTTTTGTCAATTAATGGTCATAAGATACTTTGATCTCCCCTCTATTTTACTTTAATTATAGATACCCCTTTCTATTTTTGAAGCTTATATGAACTTCCCCTAGTATGAATAGCTACAAAATGCAAATGTTTCTTTTATTTTAAAGATTTCATTTCCAACCACCCAATGGTTAGTTCACCATTAAATTATATGTTGGACCAAAGTGCACCTTTTTAAATATAAATATTGTCTAAAAATCATTCAAATTATCCAAAAAAATTAATGCATGTATAATAAGAATATATATTTTATATTTTTCATTTTTTAAACTTATTTACTTATTATTTTTAAACAAACATTAAATACATAAATCAGTTAAAAATTAAAATAATATTTCAAAAACAAAATTAAAACATAATGAAATAACAATTTTTGGCCTAAAAATAAAATAAGGATTTAATATAATAAATTCCTTAATATAATTTATGTTTATTTTTTAATTTCATTAATTTTAAAAAAATAAATTATTTATTTAAATAACCACATACTTAATTATTTAAATTTTTTGATATTGGAAAACAATCAGTCCCTCTGTCTAAAAATGCAAGATATTTTTAAATGTACTTTTTTAAGAAGTGTCTTTATTAAATAAATACATTTATATTTATTTTAAAGTAAAATACTCTATTAAATAGGGATAAATATAAAAATATATTGTTAGTTTAAAGACAACTACTATTTTATTGGGGAGCATGATTATAAGGGCAAATTAATATTATTAAAACTTTTAAAATAATTAAAAATAAAAAATTAAGTATTTTAGAATCTTCAATAAAATATTCCTAATGATGTTAAAAATTAGAATAAAGTGTATGTTTTTTAAATAGAGGGAAGATCCATGTAATATTAGCAAATAGCAAAACAGAAAGGAGGTGATTGTATTTTACTCTTACTTTTACCGATGGAAGCACAAAGGGAAATATTACACATAAAATGTTTTTTAAATCGCATACATTAGTTCATGAACTTATAATTTAAGGATAAAATTATCCCTAATTTTTCAGTATAAAAGGAAGAAAATAAGTTGGAAATTATTATGTCAAGTGAATTGCAAATCAAATAAAATTAGGGCCTGTTTAATAAAAAAAAAATATCTTCCTCAGTCCTTCACTAAATGTTCTACGCGCCATTGCTTTGCCTTTTGTCTCAATTATTGTCCCATGG